GATTATTTGGGGGTTAGATTCTCTTCATGGAGCTGACTCCTGGCTCTACTCAAGGGTCGCACCTGGTGGTGTATGGGGGATCAGATTCGGGAGGGCCCACCCCCAGCACTGCTCAGGGATCTCTCCAGGGCTGGGATCGAACCTGGGTCAGCTGTGTAGTATAAGGCCTAACCCACTGGACTGTTGCCCCAGCCCATTTTTCCATTTTCAAGCGGGAGATTCACATCTTTCATGCAGTACTGCCTGCAGCAGTGACATCGCTGCTCGATGCAGTGCCAGACTCTCAGACGGTCTCAATCGGGGGCCTGCCCCATGTTGGGGGACCCTCTGCAGTTCTGGGATGGAACTGGAGTTGACCCTGCAAACCTGGTTCCCGGCTTGGGTGGGTCTGCTGTGCCCGGACCCCTACAAGAAGGCTCTGTGTGTGTGTGTGTGTGTGTGTGTGTGTGTGTGTGTGTGTGTGTGTGTGTGTGTGTGTGACATTCCTGGACCCCCCTGCAGGATAGAGGATGGCGTGGGTGGGTGGGTGGGTGTGACATGCCTGTCCCCCCAGGATGGCCGTGCTCTCCAAGGAATATGGCTTTGTGGTGCTCACGGGCGCCGCCAGCTTCGTCCTGGTGCTCCACCTCGCTATGAATGTCTCCAAGGCCCGCAGGAAATACAAAGTGGAGGTGAGGGGTCAGCGGCCGGGGGGGGGGGGGGTGTCTGGGGGGGTGGGTTATTCCCGGAGCTCATGGGAGGTGACAGTCACCGCCTGCCTCTGCTCCTGTGTCCCCACTCTTCTCCCAGGCTAAGTCCTGACCCTGCCCAGGGGCCTTGTAATAGGGTGGGGTGGGGGTGTCCGTCGAGGGGTCTCTGGCAGGCATGGGGACCCCTGGGGAAGGAGGGGGGGAACGGTGCTGGCTCGGGCGCAGGCTGCCTGGTTGCCCCCTCCCCCTGCCAGGAGGGCTCTGGGACGGGGGTCTCGGGCCTCCCCCGGCTGACCCTCGCTCTTTCGTCCTCAGTACCCCACCATGTACAGCACGGACCCCGAGAACGGGCACCTCTTCAACTGCATCCAACGGGCGCACCAGAACACGTGAGTGCCGGCCGGGGTCAAGGGGGTCACCCGCCACTCGCTGTCCCCTGCACGCAGGGCCTGGGAGGGAGGTCGTCCTGGGGTCAGGCCCTTGCCAGTCACAGTTCATGGCCCCCCAGCAGCCAGGAGCGATCCCTGAGCTCGGAGCCAGGCGGCCGCCCTAGCTCACCCCCACCTCCCCGGGTTTCAGCCCGGGCACTTCCGAGAGGGACCCCAAAACCAGACAAAAGCCACGGGTGGCCCAGGACAGCTGAGGTTGGTGCCCTGCCCGCCCCTGACCCAGGCCTGGTCCCTCTGAGCACCTCTGGGTGCGGCCTGGCCCCCTGAACCTGGGATACATCACACACAGAGCTGGAGAGCTCGGAGCTGTGTGCGGGCTCTTGGGGGTCCCGAGTTGGGCCGGAGGGCACCTCCCGGTCTCTGTGTCTCTTCCAGGCTGGAGGTGTACCCGCCCTTCTTGTTCTTCCTGGCTGTCGGAGGTGTTTACCACCCGGTAAGTTCCCCCGAGTCAGCTTGTCAGCGGGCTGAGCTGGCTGGGAGGGAAAGAGGAAGTGGGCATCCATCTGTCCTACCGCTGTTTTGCAGCCAGGCACAGGGACGCAGCACACAGTTCCCTGGGCTGGATCACACCTTTGCACACAGTTCCCCCAGGGCTGGATCTCATCCTCCCACGCAGTTCCCCCAGGGCTGGATCGCACCCTCCCACGCAGTTCCCTGGGGCTGGATCATACCCTGGCATGCAGTTTTCTTGGGCTGGAATTCACCCTGGCACGCAGTTCCCCCAGGGCTGGATCACAACTTTGCATGCAGTTCCCTTGGGCTGGATTGCACCCTTGCATGCAGTTCCCTTGGGCTGGATCATACCCTCGCTCTCACGGCGAGTGTCTGTCCCTGCTGCACTGCGGCTGTGTCGCCCAGGGCTGGAGCACGAGCCCCGGGTTCAACCCCTGATACCGCCTGACTCCCTCAGGGTGGCCGGCTAGGGTCTCTGCCCCCCCAAATAAAGGCTCCCTTGTCCCTCCCCCGCCCCCACCCTCCAGCGCATAGTGTCCGGCCTGGGCTTGGCGTGGATCGTGGGGCGAGTTCTCTACGCTCACGGCTATTACACGGGAGGTAAGAAGGGGCGCCTGGCAAGGCCTGGACACCTGGGGGCTCTTAGGGGGCTTCTTCTCTGCAGGTCGGTGGGGAAATGGGGGTTGGGAGGGTCATGCAGGGTGCAGGTAACCCCAGGGTCTAACCCTGCCACCACATGGTAGATGGCTGCCCTTAACGGATGGGCTGCGGGTGTTGGCGGGTGGAACATTCCAGAACGTGCCAGTCACTTCTGCCCGCTCTTCCATTCCAGAACCCAGCAAGCGCAGCCGGGGCGCGCTGGGCTCCATCGCCCTCCTGGGCCTGATGGGAACGACCGTGTGTTCCGCCTTCCAGCACCTGGGCTGGATCAAGCCCGCCCCAGGCGGGGGCCGGTGCTGCCACTAGGCGGGGCCTGAAGGTGCCTGCCCGGGGCCCGTTTCCTTCCCAGTTACCTTTTTTGTTTTTCTAAGTATAATAAAAAAATGACTTGGCATCTGCCTCATACCTAACCGTGACTCTGGCACCTGCTTCTGGTTGGGGTTTCCTTGGGGGCGGGGCGGGGGTGTGGGGGTGGGGGGCTGAGTCCAGGGCTCCTGCCCCCTAAACTTCCGCTCTGGTTCTCTGGGCTGCGCGAGCCCTTCACTGGTTTCTTGGTGAGTCTGGACCCACACCCAGAGCCCTGGGGCTCCCCCCCACTCCCCACGAGTCTGGAAACAGACTCAGATTGTATATGCACTCAGGGTCAGGGCACTGAGGACTGGGGGATGGGGGGTGTCAGCGGTGTGTCCCCCCCCCAACAACAAAAGTAATTTAAAAAACCCATAATCTGGGGCTGGAGCAATAGCACAGCGGGAAGGGCGTTGGCCTTGCACGCTGGATCGACCCGGGTTCGATCCCCAGCATCCCATAGGGTCCCCTGAGCACCGCCAGGAGTGATTCCTGAGTGCAGAGCCAGGAGGAACCCCTGAGCATTGCCGGGTGGGACCCAGAAAGCAAAAAAAAAAACAAAACAAAAACCCATAATCTTAGTCCTGTACTAAATTCCTCCCCCGCTGGGGAGCTTCTTCTTTCTACCTCCCAGTAAACGGTTTCCACTTTCTAAAAACCAAAAGGAACCCCAAGACCCTTGCATTTGAGTTGGGATGCAAAGAAACCCCAAAACCTTAGCCCTTGAGTTGGGGCCGGGAGCATTTTGTCACCAGCCGGGGTTGGTTGGGGAGCTCTTCAAAGCCTGCTGCAGACCGCGTCTGCCGGTAAGACCTCAAGGATGGGTGGGCAGGGCAGCCCACAGGGTGGGGTGGGGTCCCTGCACCCACCCACACTTGTGCCTGCTTTGCTGCTACTGTGGTTGCCTCTGCTCCTGCCTGCGCCTTGCTTGCTGACTTCCGGGGCCCCCAGAAGTTCTAAAGTCCTCCGGGCTCAGGGAGAGGTGCAGGCTGGGTGCCAAGGGCGGGGTGCGGCCAAGGTCCACTGAGGGTCCGGCCCAAGGCAGGGAGAGGGCGCCACCTGCTGGCGGAACTCGGGCAGCGCTCCCCAAGCAAGCCCTGCCCTTGGCTTGATCTGCAGGGGGCCTGGCCAGGGGCCCCTGCCCGCTGCTCGGGGCTGTTGGTCCTCAAAGTCAGCGACGGGAGCCGCTGGCCGTCCTTGCTTCCAACTCCGGGAGAGCAGCGGGACGTGGCTGGTGCCGGAAGCGCTTTTGAGAAACTGCGGGGAAACTGAGTCTCAACCTGGGCGGTGGGGGAAAATCAGGGGTGCAGAGGGGAGCCAGCCACAGCCCGGGGTCACGACAGCGCAGCCTCGAGCTCCCAGGGTGACTCTCCGCCTGTATTTGAAAGTGAAGAACTGGGGGCTGGAGCGATAGCACAGCGGGGAAGGCGTTTGCCTTGCACGCGGCTGACCTGAGTTCGATTCCCAGCATCCCATAGGGTCCCCCGAGCACCGCCAGGTGTGATTCCTGAGTGCATGAGCCAGGAGGAACCCCTGAGCATTGCTGAATGTGACCCAAAAAGGAAAAAAATAATAAAAAATTAAAAAATCAAGTTCTGGGGTCTGAGTGATAGCACAACGGGAAGGGTGTTTGCCTGGCATGCAGCCGACCCGGGTTCGATCCCCGGCATCCCATAGGGTCCCCCGAGCACCGCCAGGAGGGATCCCTGAGTGCAGAGCCAGGAGGAACCCCTGAGCATTGCCGAGTGCGACCCAAAAAGGAAAAACAAAAAACATGTCTCCAACAAGTTTTGTAAAGAAACGGACTCCAGTGTGGGGTGCTTGTGGGGACACGCACTGATGGGGCCCGGCCAACAGGAGGCGCCAGCGCGCAGCAGTGGTGTTGGGTACAGGGTCGGCTCAGCGGCGCCCGGCTTCTGGGTGGGCCCGTGTCTCTATGTCAGACTGCTGCTGACAGTGAAAGGGGGGAGCTGGGGCTTTGCCGAATCCCCCTCTGGGTTCCTGGTTCTGCGTTTCCCGAGAACCCCATTAGCACAGAGGCGGTGACAAGCGGCTTCCTGCAGGGGGGTTGGGGGGAGGGGTCAGCGGTGCCCGGGCTCTGCATCAAGGCGACTGAGAGGGTGTAAGAGACAGCACAGTGCTCTGCGAGCAGCTGGCCCTACCACAGTGGGTCCCTGAGCCCCTCCACGAGTCAGCCCTGAGGACCACCAGGGTCACCCCTTAAACCCGAACCAGATCAGCGAGGAGGACCTTGAGCCGGGTCTCGGGCCTGCCCTGACCCCTGAGGAGCCGGAGAGGTGAGAGGGCGAGGGGGGCGTCTGTCTGCAGGTGATTTATTGATCCCAGCGTTGGGTAACGGAGATGCCCGCCCAGGCAGCGTCCTGGAAGCTGGGCCCTGCCGGCCTGTCCCTATGTCAGCCGCCTCAAGGGACGACCTGAACTGAAGGCCAGCGGGTGTCCGCGGTCCTGCTGGGCTTCCAGGAGCACCGTGGGGGGCGCTGAGTCCCGGGTGAGCGGCGTCCAAGGCACTGAGGGGCCAGCGGCACCAGGTGGCCCCCATCAGAAGACGGACTCCACGTCCCCCATCTCCACACACACGGTCTTGAGCTGGGAGTAATACTCGATGGTCACCCGGCCGTTCTCTCTGCCGAAGCCTGCGGGGGACAGGGCCGATCAGGGCCACGAAGGGCAGTTCTGGGAGCCGGGACAGTCTGAGGGGCCCCAACCCTCGCCCCACCCCGCAGGACACACTGCGCTCAGAGTGGACGGCAGCTCTAAAGCAGGGCTAGGGGTTGGGGTTGGGATTAGGGTTAGGGTTAGGGGTTAGGGTTGAGGTTAGGGGTTAGGGCAGGGTTAGGGTTAGAATTAGTGTTAGTTTTAGGGCCAGTGTTAGGATTAGGGTCAAGGTTAGGTGTAAGGTCAGGTTCCTCAGAGAGAGGGGTTAGGGACAGGGGTTTGGGTTCAGTCTAGAGTTAAGGGTTAGGTTTAGGGGTTTGGGTTAAGATTAGGCTAGCGTTAGGATTAGGCCAGGGTTAGGGATAAGACCAAGGTTAGGGTTTAGGTTAGGGCTAGAGTTAGGGTTAGGGCTGGGGTTCAAGTCAGGGTTAAGGTTAGGGTTAGAGGTTTGGGTTAAGTCTATGGTTAAGAGTTAGGGTTAGGTTTAAGGCTGGGTTAGGGTTAGGGTTAGGCTAGGGTTAAGGTTAGGCTTAGGGATTAGGGCTAGGGTTCAGGATTAGGGTTAGGGTTAAGTTAGGGTTAGGGGTTTGGGTTAAGTCTATGGTTGAGTTCAGGTGTAGGGGTTAGGGTTATTGCTAGGGTTAGGATATAGGTTGGGGTTAGGGTTAGGGCTTGGATTCAGGATTCAGGATTAGGATTATAGATCAGTTAGGGTTAGGGGTTTGGGTTAAGTGTGGTTAGGGGCCAGGTTAGGGTTCGGGCTGGAGTTAGGGTTAGGGTCCAGCAGCTCTGGGGAAACCCCGAGCCCAAGAGCCGCTGCCAGGGTTGGTGGTCGCGGCCCGAGGGTCCCGCCCTCCAGGGTGCTCACCCGACTTCTTGTAGCCCCCGAAGGGCAGCTCCACGGGGCTGACGTTGTAGTTGTTGATATAACACACGCCCGCCTGCAGCTCAGCCGCCACCCTGTGTGCCCGCTGGATGTCCCTGCAGGGGGACACGCACGGCCCGTCAGCCCGGCCCCGAGCCCCCCTTCCCACCGGCATGCACGCCATGAGCCCCGACAGGTCGGCCGGAAGGAGAAGGGGGTTGGGGGCCTGACACGTCGACCTGGTGCCCCTGTGGCCTCAGACCGAAGTGGGGGTCTCACACGCACAGGACAGACGTCAGCGGGGGCCCTCGGCCGCAGCTGGGTGGCACCGGGCACCAGACCCAGGCCTGATTCTGAATATCATCAGTGGCACTATTTTGGTTCTGGAATCACACCTGGTGATACACAGGGCTGACTCCTGGCTCTGCACTCAAGAGTTACTCCTGGTGGTGCTCAGGAGACCCTATGGGATGCTGGGACTCGAACCCGGGTTGGCCGCATGCCAGGCAAACGCCCTCCCCGCTGTGCTATGGCTCCAGACTCCTGGCCCCTGACTTTAAAATAATGTCGTACATCAACTATATGGGGACAAGACTGGGGAGGAGAGAGGGGACCAGAGGGGAGAGGGCCAGCGGGGCAGAGAGGAATAGAAGGGGAAGGATGGGGCCGTGGGGGGACTCTCCCGAGTGGGAGCAAGGACCCGCCCGCACCTGGTGAAGACGCCCGCGGCCAGCCCGAAGGTGGTGTCGTTGGCTCTGCGTAGCACCTCGTCCTCCGTGTCGAAGGGCAGAATGGACATGACCGGCCCGAAGATCTCCTCCCTCACGCACCTCATGTCATCTGTGCAGCCGGCTGTGGACACCCCCCAGGGACCATCAGAGATCACGGCAGCCATCAGAGGCCATGGCACCATCAGAGACACCACGAAACCGTCAGAGACCATGGAACTGTCAGAGATCACGGAACCGTCAGAGGCACCACAGAACCATCAGAGACCATGGAACCATCAGAGACCACGGAACCGTCAGAGACACCATGGAACCGTCAGAGGCACCACGGAACCATCAGAGACACCACGGAACCGTCAGAGACCATGGAACTGTCAGAGACCACGGAACCGTCAGAGACACCACGGAACCATCAGAGACCATGGAACCATCAGAGGCCGGGAACCGTCAGAGACCATGGAACTGTCAGAGACCACGGAACCGTCAGAGACACCACGGAACCATCAGAGACCATGGAACCATCAGAGACCACGGAACCGTCAGAGACACCATGGAACCGTCAGAGACACCACGGAACCGTTAGAGACCATGGAACCGTCAGAGACCACGGAACCGTCAGAGACCATGGAACCGTCAGAGACCACGGAACTGTCAGAGACCACGGAACCGTCAGAGGCCACGGGCAGCCATCAGAGGCCAGGGGGTCTGTCAAAGGCGGGTCGGGGTTCAAGCTCCCCAGCTGTGCTCCAGGTGAGCACCCAGAGTTCTGGGACAAGGGCTGGAGCGATAACACAGCAGGCAAAGGCGCTGGCCTGGCACGCAGCCGACCCGGGTTCGATCCCCGGCATCCCCTAGGGTCCCCCGAGCACCGCCAGGAGCGATTCCTGAGTGCAGAGCCAGGAGTCGGCCCTGAGCATCGCCGGGTGGGACCCAAAACACAAAACCAAAGAATCCCCGAGTTCAGGACAAGCCCCGTCGCCCCGTCCCAGGGCGTGGCGTCCGCCTCCAGACCGTTCACCCCGACATCGACGTTCCCGCCTCTCGGCTTTGACCCCCAGAGTGTCACCCCCCGAGGGGCAGGGAGGGGGCGGCGCTCACCCAGCACACATGGGGTCATGTAGAAGCCGTCCTTCAGCTTGGGGTCCTCGGGCACGTAGGGGTCCCCGCCACACAGCACCTTGGCGCCCTGCGGGGGGCCGGGAGGAAACGGGCACTGTGGGGGGACGCGGGACCCAAGGGGCTTCCGGAAACAGACGCCGGCCGGCCCGGCCGCCCCCTCACCTGCGCCTTCGCCTCCCGCACGAAGCCCAGCACCAGCTCCAGGTGCGGCCGGTTGATGAGGGGCCCCATGCGCGTGTCCTCCAGGAGGGGGTCCCCGATCTTGATGCGCTGCGTGTGCTTGACCACCTCGGCCGTGAAGCGCTCCACGATGTCCTTCTGCACGAACACCCTCGTGCCGTTACAGCAGACCTGGGGGGGGGGGGCGGGGAGGGCGTGAGCCTGGACGGGGACGGCACACCGGGACCGGGCCGCATGCCGCGGGGGGCACCCACCTCGCCCTGCGTGAGGAAGTTGGCCATCAGCGCGCCCTTGACGGCGTTCTCGAGGTGGCAGTCCGAGAAGATGATGAGCGGGGACTTGCCGCCCAGCTCCAGCGTGACCGGCTTGATGCCCTGAGCGGACAGCTCCATGATCTGCGGGCGGGACGAGCAGGACGGGGCGCTGGACGCCGAAGCCGGACCCGACCTCCGGCGCCAACAGCCAAGGGGGACCTCGTGCGTGTGCGTGTACACACACACACACACACACACACACACAGGCACAGAGCACATGCCTAACCCTCCTCCATTCACACACACACACTCATACACTCACAAGCACACAGACACACAGCGCACACCTGGCCTTCCTCATGCGCACACATGCAGAGTATACACACACAGCACATATCTGGCCACCCTCCACATACACACAGACTCGCACACACACGCACACGCACACCTGGCCTTCCTCCATGCACACACATGCAGATGCGTGCACGCATACCTGACACCCCCATACACACACACACACACGCACACACACGCATACTCACATCCATGCACACGTGCACAGAGCACGCACCCAACCCCGCTCCGTTCGTACACGGGGCCCGGGCTGCCCGCCCTGCCCCTCCCTCCCGCAGGCCTGGCCCGGAGATCAGCGGGCAGAGTCCCCCCGGCGCCCCAGAGAACCCCGAGGCAGGGAGGGAGAAGCCGCCCTTGGCGCTGAGCCTCGAGATTGGGCTGGGGGCGGGATGCCACACCTGGGGGCTCGGCTGACCTTTGGCCCGCGCCCGCCCCGCCCGGCAGCACCCAGACTCACCTTCCTGCCCGTGGGCACGCTCCCCGTGAAGGAGACCTTGGCCACGTCGGGGTGGCGGCACAGCAGCTGCCCGGTGACGGCCCCACCCTGGACCACGTTGAACAGCCCCGGGGGCGCCCCGGCCTGCGTGTAGATCTCGGCCAGCAGTAGGGTGGACACGGGCGTGAACGGCGACGGCTTGAAGACCATGGAGTTACCTGGGTGGGCACCGGGGCCTCAGCGGCGGGGGCCGGGACTGACCGCCCGTCCCAGAGGCAGGTGGATGCGGCCAGTGGGGGCTGAGGCCCACCCCTCGGGCCTCCTCACCCAGGACCCCGAGTCTGCTGGCTTCCCTGGAAGCTTCTAGAACCCGCTTCCTTCTTGTTCTAGAAGTTTCTCCAACAGAGCAGGCCGGAGGCCTCCGGAACGGCCCAGTGGGTGGGGGACGGACCTGCAGCTCCCTGGGTCTCCGCAACACCCCTCCCCAACCTCCGCACCCTTCCTCCACCCCCCGCCTCTGCCGTGGGGGTCGGGGCGCTCACCGCAGGCCAGGGCAGGCGCCGACTTCCAGCACGCGATCTGGAAGGGATAGTTCCAGGCCCCGATGCCCACGCACACCCCGAGGGGCTCCCGCCGGGTGTAGCCGAAGGACCCACCGGGCAGCTGCACGTGCTCGCCTGGAGGGAGGGAGGGAGGGAGGGAAGGGCAGTGAGGGGCCAGGACCCCCAAAAGGGCCCCATCCGCCCACCTCTACCTCCAGATGGGGAAGAAGCCAGAACTCGGGTCTCGCCCCAGCCCCCAAGTCCCGCGGGGCCTCGGGGACCGCTGGGGTCCGGCGCAGGGGCCAGGCCAGGGCTGTCCCCTCGCTCACCCGCCATGGAGCCGGCCAGCCCCGCGTAGTACTCCAGGCACTGCCAGGCCGTGTCCACGTCCAGGCGCGCCTCGAAGACCGACTTGCCGTTGTTAATGGTCTCCATCACGGCGATCTCATCCTTCCGCTCCTGCGGGACGGGGGACCAGCGTCAAGACTCCGTGGAGGGGGGTCAGGCCCGCGCCTGGTGCCGGGCCCAGCTGGCCAAGGCGTGTTGGGGGGAGGACGGAGATCGCATGTGGGCGCGTGGTGAGCACATGGTTCCCGCGGGCGCACGTCTGCAGGGTCGGGGCGACAGCCAGCATCCCCCGGGACTCGGGACCTGACACCAACTTGTCCGATGTGTCGGCTGGGGACCCCGTGAGTCACATCAATGGGGGTTTGGGGGGGCCACGGCATGAGATGGGGGGGTCTGCTCGGCTTCCAGCCCCAGGGGAGGAGTCTCGCGGGGCCGCAGCAGGGAAAGGGGGAAAAAACACGGAGTTCACGCCCTGCTGGCTGGTGACAACGTCCCCTCCCTTTCGCCGGGGACGGCCGATCAGCTCAGGACCCAAGGACGGTTCTCGAATGCAGAGAAGTGGCCTCCAGCTGCGGTCACCAGAGAAAGGAGGGCAGTCGGCCAGCGCTTGCTTTGCATATGGCAGACCCGGGTTTGATCCCTGGCATCATGTGTGATCCTCCCAGGAGTGATCACTGAGCACAGAGGGAGCCCTGAGCACTGCCGGGCGCGGCCCCCAAACTACAGCAGACAGAAGGGGCGACAGCCCAGCAGGGAGGGTGTTTGCCTGGCGCCTGGGTTCGATCCCCAGCATCCTATAGCGTCTGCTGATCGATCACTGCCAGGAGTGATTCCTGAGCACGGAGCCGGGAGTAAGCCCTGAGCATCGCTGGGGTGTGACCCCAAACGACCAGACCAAAAACCAAACCAGAGAAACTGGAAGTGTGAAAATTGCAATAGAAAGTAGGCGGCGGGTCCCGGGGGCCTGACTCTCCGCAGAGGGAGTGTCGAACCGGGTGTCGCGGACACTTGAGAGGGTGCTGAGACGTGTCCGACCGCCAGGGGGGCCCGGGCAGAAAGGGCTGCGGGGCTTACCCCGGGGTCCATGGAGAGCGGGCAGGGGGTCCCTGGGAGAGGCACTGAGTGAGCAGGAAGGAGCAGGTGGCCGACAGGCGCCCGCTGGCCACGGGGCCACGCCCGGTGGGTGCGGCGGCGGGAAGTGACCAGCCGTCCCGTCCCTGCAGAGTCCAGAGAGAAGAGGAAGGAAGCAGGAAAACAGGAAGAGGAGGTTCGGTTTTCAGGTCAGAGGACCAGGGAGCAGCTCTGGGGCCTTTTCCAGCCGAGAACCCGGTTCTGAGACGCGGGGCGGCTGCAGGGAGGGAGGGAGGGAGGGAGGGAGAGGATGGAGTGGGGAGCACTGCAGGCAAAGAGCACCCCGAGAAGCCCTCCCCCACCCCCATCTCCAGCTGAACATAGCCCTCGACAAGGCAGCCGCCACAGGAGGTCGCGGAGGAAGAGGGTGACCCAAACCAGCCTCTCGGGGCTGGAGCGATAGCACAACGAGGAGGGCGTTGGCCTTGCACGCGGCCGACCCGGGTTCGATTCCCAGCATCCCATGCGGTTCCCTGAGCACCGTCAGGAGTGATTCCTGAGTGCAGAGCTAGGAGGAACCCCTGAGCATCGCCGGGTGGGACCCAAGAAGCAAAAAGAAAAAAGAAAAACAGGGTCGAGCGATAGCACAGCGGGGAGGGCGTTGGCCTTGCACGTGGCTGACCCGGGTTCGATCCTCGGCCTCCCACAGGGTCCCCCGGGACACCGCCAGGAGTGATCCCTGAGTGCAGAGCCAGGAGGAACCCCTGAGCATCGACAGGTGGGACCCAGAAAGAAAACAAAATGAAACAAAAACAAAACAGCAGCCTCTCGTGGTGTGCGGGCGAGGACCTACACATGGCAGAGCACCAAAGCGAGACGACCAGTGGCCACGGCCCAGCAGGGCAGGGCAGGGCAGGGCGGGAGGGCGGGGGAAGGGCGCGGGACCCGGCATCCTGCAGTCAGATGTACAGTGTGGCAGATCGAAACATCCCCGGAACCCCAAAGTAGGAAAGGGCCAAAGCTTGGGACGGGGCGGAAACCCTCAGGGGCTGAGGTCCGGGGTCAAGGCCCAGGAGGTGGCCGGAGGGTGTGGGGGCAGCTGCCGGCCTTCTCCTGTCTTATCTGCGGGAGGGACACCACTTTGAACCGGGGTCTTGCAACACTCACTGTGACGCAGCCTCCCGGCTCAGCCAGTGTACGAACGCTCTGACCCCCACTCCAGCCGGAAGCAGCCCTCGGCCACGCCAGATGTGGCCCCAAATCTCATCCCCACCCCCAAACACACACACACACACACACACACACGCACGCACACACGCACGCACACCCTGGCACAAACACCCCCGGCCCCTCTGGGTGGGAAAGGACCAAAGGAAGCCCCCCCGGGGCTCGGGGGGATGCTATGGGACGCCGGGAATCGAACCCGGGTCAGCCGGGAGTCCAGAAAGCGGCTCTGCACAGGGGATAAGACCGTGTGCAGGGCTGGAGTCATAGCACAGCGGGGAGGGCGTTGGCCTTGCACGTGGCCAACCCGGGTTCGATTCCCAGCATCCCATAGGGTCCCCCGAGCATTGCCAGGAGTGATTCCTGAGTGCAGAGTCAGGAGGGACCCCTGAGCATCGCTGGGTGGGACCAAAAAGCAAAAACAAAACAAAAAAAGACCTTGTGTGACGTGGCCAAGGGAATGCCCCCCGCCCCAGCCCCATTCACCCTCGGAGCCGCCTGGCCCCTGCAAACGCGGCCAACAGCTTACCCGGATGATCCTGGCGGCCTCCAGAAGGATCTGGCCGCGCTCCATGCCTGACTTCTGCTTCCAGAGTTTGAAGGCGGCCTGGGCATCCTGCACCGCGAGGTTTACCTCCTTCTCTCCGGAGCAGGGGAAGGTGGCGATCACCCGGCCTGTGGGCGGGATCGGGGTGCCTGTGAGCCTGGTGCTGGTGATGCTACCCTGGCGGTACTCCCAGCTCCCAGCGATTCCGTCCCCACAAATACCAGAAGTTCCCTCCGAAGAGTTTGGGGGTCAGGGGGCAGAGCCATAGCACAGCGTTTGGAAAGGCGTTGGCCTTGCACGCGGCCGACCCGGGTTCGATCCCCGGCATCCCATAGGGTCCCCGAGCACCGCCAGGAGTGATCCCTGAGTGCAGAGCCAGGAGGAACCCCTGAGCATCGCCGGGTGGGACCCAAAAAGGGAAAAAAAAATTGAAAGGCCGGAGAGACAGTACCCGAATGAAGGCACTTGCCTCACGATCCTGCCGACCCAGGTTTGAGAACCCGCGTGACCTAAGTACCACCTGGCCAGAGGCAGAACAGCCCCGGGAGTACTGCGAGGTTTGGCCCAATGCCCAAAAAACAACCCAAAACACCGCTGAATAAATGCCGCGGGCTTCAGTCCAGCAAAAACAAGTGTTTCGACCTCCGACCTGCCCTCACGAGACATGGGTTCGGGGTGTCCGCCCTCCTGTCTTACTTCAAAGGCCACTGAAGGCCACTGACCAGTACTTCCACCAGGAATTCTGTCAAACACCTTAATAGTGTTTGAGGGACCCCGGGTCTTGCAAAACCAAAAGTGAAAGTGGTCAGTCTCTTGGGAGCACTGAAGCACTGTCCTCCCGTTGTTCATCGATTTCCTCGAGCAGACCCAGTAACATCTCGGGGAAAAAAAAATTATTTTTTTAAAAGAAAAGAAAAATAGGAACTTGAGTGACAGCACAGCAGGGAGGGCGTTTGCCCTGCATGTGGCTAACCCGGGTTCGATTCCCAGCATCCCATAGAGTCCCGTGAGCACCGCCAGGAGTGATTCCAGAGCGCAGAGCCAGGAGGAACCCCTGTGCATCGCCGGGTGTGACCCAAAAAGCAAAAAATTAATAAAAATAAAGGGCTCAGTCTCCTGAATCCAGATGGGGTGCTGGGGGTTGAACCCTGGTCAGCTCCATGCCAGGCAAGCACCTTACCTGCTTATCTCTCTGGCCCCAAACACCCAGAGTCTTCTATGTGATTTTTTTTTTAATTATCTATTTTTTTGGATTTCAGGCCACACCGGCAATGCTCTGGGGTTCCTCCTGGCTCATGCACTCAGGAATCACTCCTGGCGGTGCTTGGGGGGGACCCTATGAGATGCTGGGAATCGAACCCCGGTCAGCCACGTGCAAGGAAAACGCCCTCCCCGCTGGGCAACCGCTCCGGCCTCCTTCTAAGCGATTTTTAAGGAGAGAATCTTCCCGCCAGGCTCCCGGGGAGTGAAGACAGAGCTGGGACAGGCCAGCAGGCCACTGGTGGTGCTGGACAAAGCGCCTTTTGTCCGGTTCCCAGGCTGGTGGGGGTGGGGCCCTGGGGCTCTCCCGGGGGCCAACAGGCCAGCCGGGCTCTCGGCTCTCCCCGGGGGGCCGGGTCCCTCATCGGGCCCCATCTCCGGGCAATCTGGCCGTCCGCCCTGCGCGCTGCCCAGTTATCTACACTTTCTCTTGCAGCCGCAAAGATTCCGTAAGAGCAGACAGGAAACGCAGGGGGTGCAGCTGGGGCAGGGCCTGCAGGCGCAGGGCTGGGGGGCAGCGAGGGCGAGGGTCTGCAGGGCTGGGGCCTGGGGGGCGGCGAGGGGGAGGGTCTGCAGGCGCAGGGCTGGAGGCGGCGAGGGGGAGGGTCTGCAGGGCTGGGGGGCTGGGGGGCTGCGAGGGGGAGGGTCTGCAGGGCTGGGGGGCTGGGGGGCTGCGAGGGGGAGGGTCTGCAGGGCTGGGGGGCTGGGGGGCGGCGAGGGGCAGGGTCTGCAGGCGCAGGGCTGGGGGGCGGCGAGGGGGAGGGTCTGCAGGCGCAGGGCTGGGGGGCTGCGAGGGGGAGGGTCTGCAGGGCTGGGGGGCTGGAGGGCAGCGCGGGGGAGGGTCTGCAGGGCTGGGGGGCTGGGGGCGGCAAGGGGCAGGGTCTGCAGGCGCAGGGCTGGGGGGCGGCGAGGGGGAGGGTCTGCAGGGCTGGGGGGCCGGGGGGCAGCGCGGGGCAGGGTCTGCAGGCGCAGGGCTGGGGGGCTGCGAGGGGGAGGGTCTGCAGGGCTGGGGGGCTGGAGGGCAGCGCGGGGGAGGGTCTGCAGGGCTGGGGGGCTGGGGGCGGCAAGGGGCAGGGTCTGCAGGCGCAGGGCTGGGGGGCGGCGAGGGGGAGGGTCTGCAGGGCTGGGGGGCCGGGGGGCAGCGCGGGGCAGGGTCTGCAGGCGCAGGGCTGGGGGGCTGCGAGGGGGAGGGTCTGCAGGGCTGGGGGGCTGGAGGGCAGCGCGGGGGAGGGTCTGCAGGGCTGGGGGGCTGGGGGGCTGCGAGGGGGAGGGTCTGCAGGGCTGGGGGGCTGGGGGGCTGCGAGGGGGAGGGTCTGCAGGGCTGGGGGGCTGGGGGGCTGCGAGGGGGAGGGTCTGCAGGGCTGGGGGGCTGGGGGGCGGCGAGGGGGAGGGTCTGCAGGGCTGGGGGGCTGCGAGGGGGAGGGTCTGCAGGGCTGGGGGGCCGGGGGGCGGCGCGGGGCAGGGTCTGCAGGCGCAGGGCTGGAGGCGGCGAGGGGGAGGGTCTGCAGGGCTGGGGGGCTGGGGGGCTGCGAGGGGGAGGGTCTGCAGGGCTGGGGGGTTGCGAGGGGGAGGGTCTGCAGGGCTGGGGGGCTGGGGGGCTGCGAGGGGGAGGGTCTGCAGGGCTGGGGGGCTGGAGGGCTGCGAGGGGGAGGGTCTGCAGGGCTGGGGGGCTGGGGGGCGGCGAGGGGGAGGGTCTGCAGGGCTGGGGGGCCGGGGGGCGGCGCGGGGGGCCGGGGGACGGCGCGGGGCAGGGTCTGCAGGGCTGGGGGGCCGGGAGGCATCGCGGGGCAGGGTCTGCAGGCGCAGGGCCGGCCCCGCCCGGGCGTGCACGGGGACGCGCGTGCACGGGACAGCGCCCGGGACCCCGCAGGCCCGGACCCCCGCGCGGCCGCCCCCCCCGGCCCGGACCCGCGCGCGCCTCACCCGTGGCGGGCTCGAACGCCTTCTCGCTGCCCGACTCGTCGGCCGGGCTCACGCGGGCCCCGCCGCGGAAGTTGAGCGGCTGCGACACGACGAAGGTCCCGGTGCTCATGGCGGCGGCGGCGGGACGGGGCGCGCGGAGCAGCAGCGGGCGCGCGAGGCACAACATGAGCGAGCGGCGCGCGGCCCGGGACTGGCGCGCCGCCCGCCGGCCGGCCGGGCCGCGGGGGCGGGGCCGCGGGGCGGGGCCTCTTGTCATTGGGCGGGCCCCTTCCCGGGGCGGGGCTTCCTGGGCGGAGCCTCCAGCTGGGGGAGGGGCCTAGAGGGACGGGGCCTCATGCCATAGGGCGGGCCCGGGCGAGGGGCGGGGCTAACGGGGGTTGGGCCTCATATCATAGGGAGGATCCGAGCGAGGGGTGGGGCCTCAGGAGAAGACCGGGTCTTATGGGGGGGTGGGTTTCGCGTCATGGGGCGGGTCCCGGCCCGGGGCGGGGCTTCCTGGGCGGAGCCTCCCGTTGTGGGCGGGGCCTAGGGGGACGGGGCCTCATGCCATAGGGCGGGCCCGGGCGAGGGGCGGGGCTAACGGGGGTTGGGCCTCATATCATAGGGAGGATCCGAGCGAGGGGTGGGGCCTCAGGAGAAGACCGGGTCTTATGGGGGGGTGGGTTTCGCGTCATGGGGCGGGTCCCGGCCCGGGGCGGGGCTTCCTGGGCGGAGCCTCCCGTTGTGGGCGGGGCCTAGGGGGACGGGGCCTCATGCCATAGGGCGGGCCCGGGCGAGGGGCGGGGCTAACGGGGGTTGGGCCTCATATCATAGGGAGGATCCGAGCGAGGGGTGGGGCCTCAGGAGAAGACCGGGTCTTATGGGGGGGTGGGTTTCGCGTCATGGGGCGGGTCCCGGCCCGGGGCGGGGCTTCCTGGGCGGAGCCTCCCGTTGTGGGCGGGGCCTAGGGGGACGGGGCCTCATGCCATAGGGCGGGCCCGGGCGAGGGGCGGGGCTTATGGGGTTGGGCCTCACATCATAGGGAAGGTCCGGGCGAGGGGCGGGGCTTCAGGAGAAGACCGGGTCTTATGGGGGGAGGGGTCTCGTGCCATGGGGCGGGTCCAGGCCCGGGGCGGGGCTTCCTGGGCGGAGCCTCCCGTTGTGGGACGTGCCTAGAGGGACGGGACCTCATGCCATAGGGCGGGCCCGGGCGAGGGGCGGGGCTTATGGGGTTGGGCCTCACATCATAGGGAAGGTCCGGGCGAGGGGCGGGGCTTCAGGAGAAGACCGGGTCTTATGGGGGGAGGGGTCTCGTGCCATGGGGCGGGTCCAGGCCCGGGGCGGGGCTTCCTGGGCGGAGCCTCCCGTTGTGGGACGTGCCTAGAGGGACGGGACCTCATGCCATAGGGCGGGCCCGGGCGAGGGGCGGGGCTTATGGGGTTGGGCCTCACATCATAGGGAAGGTCCGGGCGAGGGGCGGGGCTTCAGGAGAAGACCGGGTCTTATGGGGGGAGGGGTCTCGTGCCATGGGGCGGGTCCAGGCCCGGGGCAGGGCTTCCTGGGCGGAAGCTCCCGTTGTGGGCGGGGCCTAGATGGACGGGGCCTCATGCCATAGGGCGGGCCCGGGCGAGGGGCGGGGCTTATGGGTGTGGTTTCAGGAGAAGACCGGGTCTTATAGGCGGGGTCTCGCGCTATGGGGCGGGGCCTCTTGTGGTGGGCGGGGATTTGGGCGGGGCCTCATGCCTTGGGGCGGGCCCGGGCGCTGGGGCGGGGCTTCCGGGGTGGGGCCTAGAGCCAGGGTGGGCCCGGGAGGGGCGGGGCTTCCATGGGGCCTCGAGCTATGGGATGGTCCTGGGTGAGGTGGGGCTTTCAACAGTGGGACGGGGCCTCTTGCCTTCGGACTGACCAGGGCGCTGAAACGGGGCTCCAGGGGCGGGGCCTCACGCCGTGGGGCGGGGTTCCGGGGGCGGGATCTCGTGCGGTGGGCGGGGCTTAGGGCGGGGCCTCTTCAAGCCGTGGGGCGGGGCTTTAGAGACGGACTCTTGTGCCATTGGTGGAGGGTTTAGGGGCGGGCCCAGGCTCGATGGGGTGGGGCTTCTGTGAAGGCGTGGCCTCTGGGATGGGCGGGACTTCTGCAAAGGGCGTGGTCTCTGCAAGGGCGTGGCCTCTGCAAAGGGCGTGGCCTCTGGGGGCGGGGTGGGGGTGACTAGGCCAACGGAACTGGGGGTGGGGGGGCCCTAGGCGGGACTTCAGAGGGAAGGGGATTCAGGCCTAAGCGGGGCTCTGGAGGCCTCCTGTGAAGGAGCAGAACCTAGGTGGGGGTGGGGCGCTGGGGGCGGGGCTTCGCGCCAGGGGGCGGGACAGAGCGGCCTTTAGGGGACTTGGCCCCGAGTGATGGGGGCGTGGTTTATGGTGGGCGTGGTCTAGGATGCTCTGGGGGCGGGGCTTCGGCGAAGTCCGCCTGGGCCGGGATTCTCTGCAAGTCTGCGTATGGGGCGGACAGAGGAGGTGGTCCAGGTCAGGCCTCTCCAGCTGGACAGATGGGCCGAGGCGTCAGGGTCCCACAACACATGCACACACCGTCTCTCTGCATTCTATTGCATATCCCCTGTCCGTCTGTCCGTCCCTCTACTCCAGGTCTCAGGAACCGCCTCCCGCAATCAAGGGGCCCGCACGTGCCTGGAGCAGCCCGGCTGCAGGGTCCGGGCTGGGAGGGGGCTGCGGGGCAGGGCAGGGGGGCTGGAGCTCACATCTCAGGCCGGGGAAGCCCAGCTGGAACCCGACACCGCCTGGTTCCCCTACCCTGCCGGAGGCCACCCCCAAGTGCTGAGCCAGGGGCGGCCTCCAAAAATCACGGAGTATGACCCCAAAACCAGAAAGAAAATAAAGAAAAATAACGGGTGGGTAGTTCCCCTCACCGGCACATCAGCAGCAGGCGAGGTGGGCTGAAAAAGATGAGCCGGGGGCCAGAGATGGCACAGCGGGCAGGACACTTGCCTTGCATGAAGCCCGGCCTGGTTTGACCCCTGACACCACACAAGGGCCTCCGAGCACCTCCAGGAGTGCTCCTTGAGCACAGTCAAGCCCGAGCACTGCCAGGTGTGGCCCATAAACACTGAAAGAAAAAGTAAAGGCAGGGAGGGCGTTTACCTTGCATGCAGTGACCCGGGTTCGATCCCCAGCATCCCATAGGGTCCCCCAAGCACCGCCAGGAGTGATTCCTGAGGGCAGAGCCAAGTGGAACCCCTGAGCATCGCCGGGTGTGACCCAAAAAGCCAATAAAAAAAGTAAAGGCAGAGAAGTTGTTCAGGAGAGACGGGTGGGCTCCTTACACGGCCCAGGGCATTTGCTAGCTGTTGCCACCAAGCTGCTTTCCGGGACAGTCAAACCGGCACCGTCTGGGTGGGAAGACCCAGACTCTGCACCATGAGACAGCAAATAGCCAGGCACAGTGAGGGCCTTTGGCCCCTAAACCCACTATGTTCTCACCCCAGGATTTGTAGCCCCACCAAAGCCATGGAGAGTTTTTGTTCTAGTGTGTAACTCACCAGAATTTTTTTTTTTTTGCTTTTTTGGGTCACACCCAGAGATTCACAGGGGTTACTCCTGGCTCTGCACTCAGGAATGACTCCTGGCGGTGCTCAGGGGACCATATGGGTTGCTAGGAATCGAACCCGGGTTGGCCATGCGCAAGGCAAACGCCCTGTCCGCTGTGCTATCACTTTCGGGTCGTAATCAGCTAGGGCTGTCTCTTTTTTTTTTTTTTTTTTTTTTTTTTTTGCTTTTTGGGTTCACACCCGGCAATGCACAGGGGTTACTTCTGCACTCAGGAATCACCCCTGGCAGTGCTCAGGGGACCATATGGGATGCTGGGAATCGAACCTGAGTCAGCCGCACACAAGGCAAACGCCCTACCTGCTGTGCTATCGCTCCAGCCCCCAAATCTCTTATATTTTAAAACCACTATTTTTTTTCGGGGCATGGAGGGCCCACACCCAGCAGTACTCCTGGCTCAGCACTCAGTAATTATTACTCCTGGCAGTGGTCAGGGAACCCTATGGGGTGCCAGGGATCGAACCCAAGTGAGACATATGCAAGGCGAATGCCCTCCCCTCTATATTATATCTCTGGCCCCTGAAACACAAGTTTTGTGGGTCTTAATCCCCATCATTCTTTGAGCCACACTCCTCGCCTCACGTTGCCCATTTTATTTTATTTTATTTTATTTTTGCTTTTTGGGTCACACCCGGCGATGCTCAGGGGTTCCTCCAGGCTCTGCACTCAGGAATTACTCCTGGCGGTGCTCGGGGGACCCTATGGGATGCTGGGATTTGAACTCAGATCGAACGCGTGCAAGGCAAACGCCCTCCCCGCTGTGCTATGGCTCCAGCCCACGTTGCCCATTTAAAATCCAGCACTTGGGGCTGGAGCGATAGCACGGCGGGGAGGGCGTCTGCCTTGCACGCGGCCGAACCGGGTTCGATTCCCAGCATCCCATAGGGTCCCCCGAGCACCGCCAGGAGTAATTCCTGAGTGCATGAACCAGGAGTAACTCCTGTGCATCGCACCCAAAAAGCAAAAAAAATAAAATAAAATAAAATCCATTACTTTAGGCTTATGCTATTGAATCTCAATCTGTTCTCTGTAAATTTGGGATACTTCTCAGGTGATTTGCAAGTGAACTGGACATCCTGAAATCTTTTGGGGGTGCTTCTTTCGAGGGTGTGATGCCAGGGATCAAATCTAGGTCAGAGGTTCAGCTGTGTGCCAGACAAGTACTCTGCCCCCCCAACCCCCCACCCCCCACCCCCGTCTTATCTTTCAGACCCAGGGCACTTTTTAATCTGCCGCATGCATCAGTGAACCTTATCTCCTAGGATAGGCAAGGAAAGGGTTTATGATGTATACTTTATTGAAGATGATAAGATCATCCCCTAAATTATCTAGGCACCTCCAAGTCTCCAAGGGAGTGAAGTTTGTTCATCTACCAATCTCCCGCTTGATCAGCAAGATTCTCTCAGGGACAGCCAAGGTGTTCCAGTTGGTGAACTTTAGACCGAGCACCGCCTAGCTACGACCTAGTATTATGAGTCACAGGGGGTAAAACAAACAAACTGCCTACTATGAAGAGAAACAAATTGAATGTCTTACTCTTCATTTTTTTTTTTTTTGGTAATGCTGGTGTGTGTGTGTGTGTGTGTGTGTGTGTGTGTACACACTTCTATCACTTCCATCCTGTTTGGGAATTAACTGCTCACTGCAAGAACTTAACCATTCTCATCAGATGAAGAAGCTACAATCCACAGTGGCTTTGAGAAATACATTTTTTTTTGGGTCCCACCCGGTGATGCTCAGGGGTTCCTCCTGGCTCTGCACTCAGGAATCACTCCCGACGGTGCTCGGGGGACCCTATGGGATGCTGGGCATCGAACCTGGGTCGGCCGCGTGCTCTGAGCTCTGAGCTCTCCCTGCTGTGCTATCGCTCCAGCCCTGAGGAATACGATTTTGAAGGAATTCTAGAATCACACTCAATCCTCCCTCCTGCCTCTGTGCCCTCAGCTGCTGGGCAATGCTGGGCTCACTGTGTGTTTGGGGATGAGAGTCTGCTGTCATACCCCGATGACTAAGGGCAAGTTCTTGGTGCGTTCTGATCTTCCAGAAAGGTCAGTCCCCTTAAGAGTCATGAAAAAAAAGTCACACTCCTTGCCAGTGAGGTCCAGCAAATAAATTGTTCTCTTTTATTTTAACCCGGCAAGCTACCGAGAGTATTCGATATGCCAGACACAGTAACAACAAAGTCTCCAATGGAGACGTTACTGGGCCCGCTCGAGCAAATCGACGATCAACGGGAGGGCCTTTACCCTCCTTTTCATGGTGGTGGGGTGGTGGGGAACACACTTGGCAGTGTGTTTGTTCAGGGTGTACCCAGGTCAGCTGTATGCCAAGCAAATGCTTAAAGTGCCATACTATCTTTTCAGGCCCCTAATCATTATATATATGTGTGTATATATATATGTACATATATATACACACACACACACATATGGGCTGGAGCGATAGCACAGTGGTAGGGTGTTTGCCTTGTGCGCAGTCAGCCCAGCCGAGCCGGGTTCGATTCCTCCGCCCCTCTCGGAGAGCCCGGCAAGCTACTGAGAGTATCTCGCCCACATGGCAAAGCCTGGCAAGCTCCCCGTGATGTATTCCATATGCCAAACACAGTAACAACAAGTCTCATGATGGAGACGTTACTGGGCCCGTATGAGCAAATCGATGAACAGCAAGAGGACAGTGACAGATATACATATATATGTACAATATACATATATATGTATATATATATATTTATATATATATATCTTGCCTGTACGGCAGAGCCTGGCAAGCTACCCGTGACATACTCAATATGCCAAAAACAGTAACAATGACGGTCCTCATTCCCCAGACCCTTAAAGAGCCCCCAATATGCCATCGGGCTACACTAGCATCCGACAGGGACGAATGGAGACGTTACTGGCGCTCGCTCGAGCAAATGGATGAACAAGGGGATAACAGTGATACAGTGATATATATCACTGTGACCGTCCTGTCACCATCCTCCTGTTGTTCATCGATTGGCTCGAGCTGCCCCAGTGACATCTCCATTGTGGTACTTGTTACTGTGTTTGATATATTATTATTATTAATTATTATTTTTGCTTTTTGGGTCACACCCGGCGATGCTCAGGGGTTCCTCCTGGCTCTGCACTCAGGAATCACTCCTGGCGGTGCTCGGGGGACCCTATGGGATGCCGGGGATCGAACCCGGGTCAGCTACGTGCCAGGTAAACGCCCTTCCCCCATGTACTTTCGCTCTGGCCCCTTGTTCTGTTTTTACACTGAGCCCTAGGTATTCTGCCATTCACTCATTTGAGCATTTACTTGAAAACATTTCCCTGTGGGTTTCCAAACAGTAGAGAAAGTTTAACCACTGAGGCATGTTCCCTACAGAGGGGTGTTGGGCTTGGAGGCTGTTATCTGCACCCCTTCACCCGGAAACAACCCAGACACACCCCAGGGGAGGCTCCACAGAGACCATCAAGGCAGCAAATAAGTTGCAAGGGGTAGAATTCACAGGCCAGCAGATTGCTGTCACACCCAGAGCTGAGCAGCAGAATCCCTGGGTGAGGCCCAGATGTCCCTTAGCAAGTCAGTGTCACACTTCCTGGTCGGGAAAGGGGCTATTTTCAGAAGGGATAGTGCTTATGCACTAATCTTTAACTCCTGATTCAAAGGAACTGTGTCCCGGAGGAGGGCTGGGATGGTACTGCAAGCTGTTGGGGGTGAGCTTTGCGTACAGGAGGCCCCAGTTTGAACCACAGGGTCCCCTGAGCACCCCCAGGACTGACAATGAAGCTGAGTCTGGAGAAGCTTCAGAGAACCCCAAAACAAAACACACGATCACACGATCACGATCATCCTGTTGTTCGTGGAGTGCCTCGAGCAGGCACCAGTAACGTCTCCTTCTTCCTAGCCCTGAGATTTTAAAAGAGCCATATTCAGTGCTCTTTCAGGGTTAGGAGAATTGAGACCCATCACTGTTACTGGTACTTGGCATACTAAGTACGACAACGGGAAGTTTGCCAGAGTCTGCCGTGTGGGTAGGATTCTTTCGGTAGCCTGCTGGGTTCTCCAAAGGAAAAATGAGATAATAAGATGTCTAGGAGCTGGGTTTTATAGTCTCTGCATCTTGGCAGTTGATGGGACCAACCTGGTGCTGGCGGCAGCTGGTGGGTGTGATGCCTACCTACTGGAAGAGGGAGGATCTGGGTGGAGAAGGCCCAGTCCCAATCCGAGTAGGCTTGGAGACCTCAGCCCCGGGACCCGCATGCCTGGGTTCCTCTGCCAGTTCCTTCATGCATGAGGCTTGTCCGGACGTGTGGAGAGTGGTCTCAGCATGGTTGTGGCTGGTTCTGGAGGTCTTCGGCTGCTGGGGCTCTGCTTGAGGGGGGGGAGGGGGAGGGAAACTCAACCCGCCTCCCTCCAAGGGGTGAGGACAGCCAGGCACGGGGGCAGGAGATTCTTCAGAGAACCCCAAAACAAAACACACACAAATGAAAAAAATGCTGCTATCTCCAATCAACGCCCCGGGTACCACTGGGTATGGGTGAAACCAAAATACCCAAAGAAATGAAAAAACCCTTTTGAAAAATTAAAACGTCCTGGAAGGGCTGGAATGATAGTACAGCAGGGAGAGCGTTTGCCTGGCATGTGGTTGACCAAGGTTCGATTCCCAGCATCCCATCAGGGTCCCACGAGCACCGCCAGGAGTGATTCCTGAGTGCAGAGCCAGCCCTGAGCATCGCTGGGTGTGACCCAAAAAAGAAAAAGAAGAAAAGAAAAAGAAAAAGAAAATGCCCTGGGATATTCGGAGAGGGGTGTACCTACGAACTTGCTTCAGAACGACCTAGAGGGAAGCGCGCAGAGGCGGGCAGGAGGTCGGGTCAATGATTTCCAAAGCTGAAGAACGAGCACTGTGTCTTCCTGACACTTTAACTGAACCCGGATCAACTCCCCTTCCAAGAAACTCCGGTGCTCTCCACTCTGTACTGAAGGGCGCTGTTAAAATACACAAAATGAGTGATCCGGGCAGAGAATCAAAACCCTGTCATTAATTACACGTGGCTGTAATGGACCAAACTGGCCAGAAGGCGGAGTCTGGTCCTAAGGGAGGTGTTGGCCCAGTCCAGCCCCACGAAGCAGGATGGACAGAGGGAAGGGGCGGACACAGAAGGCAGGGGACGGATCTAAGATTCCTGACTGCCGGCAGGTCTCAGGGAAAGCCCCAAGGAACCCGATTTCATGCTCTCTTTTGACCTTCAGCTTTTTTTTTCTTTTTTTGGGGGGGTGGGAGTCACACCCGGCGATGCTCAGGGGTTCCTCCTGGCTCTGCACTCAGGAATCACTCCTGGCGGTGCTCGGGGGACCATATGGGATGCTGGGAATCGAACCTGGGTCGGCCGCGTGCCAGACAAACGCCCTCCCCGCTGTGCTGCAGTTCCTCACTTTCTTTCTTCCACTATTTAAATGAGAAATGCCTGCATGACAAAATACACCTGCAAACCCCATATTTTCCCTCTGCCCCAGACCTTACCCTCCCGCCCAGGGTAGCCTTAAGGCAGAACGCAACAGGCCACCAACCCCCACACACACATAGGTGGTCTTCCATTTTTTTTTTTTTTATTGATCTTGGGTCGAATTTGGCTATTAAAAAAGAAATACAATGCAGAGTTCCAATGAAGAATTATACAGAGTCAAAATTTTCTTCCTGATCCTTACATGCTCCCCCGAAAAACCAGTTCCCCGGCGTGTGACAACGGCGTGGACCAGGTGGAGGCCAGGCCAGAGAGATTCTACTTGTTCCCCGTGGGACCCCCACGCCGAGCTGAGGCCAGAAACGCCGGCGGCTGCCAAACGCGGGACTCAGGTGGAAAAGCGCCGGGCCAAGGCTGCCCCCGAGAGGGTGACAGCGTGCGCAGCTTCTTCCCGGGCTCAAGAGAACTTTCCAGAAGGGGGTGGGGGGCCGAGGAATCCGCCCGCCTGCTTGGTGGCAGCGCGTGAAGGGGCCAGGCCCAGAATCTTCTGGATGTTCTGTGGAGGAGAGAGAAGAGTTGGTTTAGGTGGCGGCGGGGGAAGGTGTAACTGCAGTGCTTCCAGGAAGAGTTCTGGAATGTTCTGGAAAGTGGCGAGGATCACAGAATCCCATGCCGGGCGTCAGTACAGTGGGGAGGGCGTTTGCCTTGCACACAGTGGGCACGGGTTCGACCCCCGGCATCCCATAGGGTCCCCCGAGCACCACCAGGAGTGATTCCCGAGTGCAGAGCCAGGAGGAACCCCTGAGCATCGCTGGGTATGACAGAGAGAGACACACACACACAGACACACAGACATGGGCAGGGGTGATAGGGAGAGCATTGGTCGGTCCCGTAGCAGTCCCAGGTTCGAGCCCCGGCATCCCACAGGGTCCCCCGAGCCCCGCCAGGAGTGATTCCCGCGTGCAGAGCCAGGAGGAACCCCTGTGTATCGCCGGGTGTGACCCAAAAAGCAAAACAACACAAACAGAAGCGCTCACATACGGCGAACCCCATGTGGATGCAAAGAGACACACAGGGTGAGGGGATGGGAAAAGAGATTCCTGCCTGGTCCCGGCAACGACGGGCACCGACCGCGCAAGACATACAAAGGCCGGGATGCTTCCCGGCAGGAAACGCAGAACAACACGACACAGGATTTGCGCCCCTTCCTCCCCGCGGAGGTGACCAAGAAGAGGAAGTTGTTGGTTGCTCAGCGGATATTTTGGGAAGCTCCAGGTCGTAAACACAATCTGCCCAACTGACCTCCAGCTTGGCCCCCAGAGCTCGGCTCGCTGGCGGCTGGCCCGCGCGGGCTTCCGGTCAGTTCCCCTCACCGGCGAGCTGACCATCAAAGCCCGCCCAGACTGGGCTGTTGACTTCGCCCATGAACAGGCGCTGTGGGAGGCCCCGGGAACCACAGGCCAGCTCGGGGGGGCAGCGGAAATGCCCCGCGGGTCCCGGCCAAGGTCGAGCTAAGACCGTGGGGGTGGGGGGTGGGAAGTGGGGGACGTGGGTGGGGAGGGCACGTGCACTGGCCCAGGGACGGGTGTTGGGACATTCTGAGACTGAGACCCATCATGAACAACTTTGGAACTGCATCCAGCAGTGGGTTCGACAAAAAAATAAAAAGTAAGGGGCCGGAGCGATAGGACAGCAGGTAGGGCGTTGGCCTCGCACGCGGCTGACCCGGGTTCGATCCCCGGCATCCCCTAGGGTCCCCCAAGCACCGTCAGGAGTGATCCCTGAGTGCAGAGCCAGGAGTCAGCCCTGAGCATCGCTGGGTGGGACCCAAAAGGCAAAAAATAAAAAAATAAAATAAATAAAAAGAAGAAAAATGAAAAGGGGCCTGGGCGGCCGATCCAAGCACGGCGGGGAGGTGGCATGCCTGCCCATGGCTGACCCGGGTTCGATCCCCGACATCTCACAGGGTCCCCCGAGCCCCGCAGGGAGTGATTCCCTGAGTGCAGAGCCAGGAGTCAGCCCAAAAACAAAACAAAACAAAAAAGATCAAAGGGGCAGGTCGGAGCGAGGCTTTTCCTGGCTTTCAAGCCACTCTGATTTATCGGAAAGTCCCCGCCCCCCCCCCCCCCCCCCGTCTCCTGAGCACTGGACTTGGAGTCTGGTGGAAAGAATCTGCGTGTCTGCCGCCCGCTTCCCAGAGAAAGTTCCCGATGTCACTGGCCGGGCTCCCCGATTTTGATGGGTCAGTCAAGAAGGCACAAGCTTTAGTTTAGGGCATGAGGTAAGCGATTTGCTTTAAACCGGAAAAACTCTTGCAGGGCCCGAGAGAGCTCAGTGGGCTGAGGGCACCCCTGGCCAGAGGGTGGCCCAGGGTCGCTCCTCAGTACCATATGGTCCCCTGAGCAGCCCCTGGCGAGACCCGAGCACAGAGTCAGGAGTATGGCCCCCCCCAAACAAAACCCAAGAAAACACTTCGCAAAGTGGGGAGGCCCTAGCTGGCACCAGGCGGGCTGTCAAACTCAGGTTCGAAGGGCCAGAGGGCGCCCCGGATTCAATTCCCAGCACCACAGGGTCCCGGAGCACCGCCAGGGAACACCCACAGGGAAAGCACTTTTACATAACCCAGAGACGAAAACCGAGTTAGCACAGGGCCTAGACCTCGGCAAAACATCCATCGAGAGGGCACAGCGGGGAGGGCGTTTTTCTTGCCGACTCGGGTTCGATCCCCAGCGTCCCCTAGGGTCCCCCGAGCGCGCCCAGGAATGATTCCCGAGTGCCGAGCCAGGCGTCAGCCCTGAGCATCGCCGGGTGGGACCCAAAAAGCAAAATAAAGAAATGAACGTCCTTCGAGGAAAAAAAAAAAGACGTTCTCAGATCAATGACGATAAAAAGAACAGAAGAAGAATGAATGAAAGAACAAGGGGCAGCGGGCATGTTCCTAGGAAAGCCTTGAACTCACGCACGGGGACAGCCCTGCGGGCAGCAGCCTGCCTGGGGAGCTTGTGGGTACGTCCCCTCCAACACAGAACCCGCACCGAGGAGCCTGCTTTGTTTTTCTTTCATTTTCATTTTTGGCCCACACAGACGGTGCTCAGAGGTCACTCCTGGCAGGGCTCAGGGGATCCTATGGGCAGCTGGGGATCAAACCCCAGCCATCCGCATGCAAGGCAAGCAGCCTCCCGCTGTGGAACTGCATGATGTGAATGAATTCGGGATTCCTGAAATAAGGCACTGCAGCCAATAATGAGGTGCAGACGGCCGGTCCTTCTCCTGTTCCGATGACTTGAAGACACCCTGCCCTGCCACCACTTCACCTGGACCCTGCTATTACACACACACACACACACACACACATACATGAGCCCCTTAGAGTCAGTATTCTCCTACAATACAACTATTTTACTTGTCACTGTCCTCCCAGTAACAATGTGAGACTTGTTACTGTCTCTGGCATATCGAATACATCACGGGTAGCTTGCCAGGCTTCGCCGTGCTTGCGGGCGAGATACTTGAATGAAATAAATTCTGGGGCTGGAGCGACAGGATGGTGGGGAGGGGTTTTGCCTTGCATGCAACGCAACTGGCTTCGATTCCCGGCATCCCGCAGGATTCCCTGAGCACACGGCCAGGAGTCACCCCGAGCATCATCGCCAGGTGTGGCCCAAAAATAACAAGACAAAAACAAACTAAAAAAAACAAACACGCTTATGGCTGGAGAGAGAACGGAATGCAGTGGGGGAGGCGCCTGCCTCGTACATGGCCAACCCACTTCAATTCCCAGCACGACACCCGGTCCCCTGAGCCCGCCAGGAGCGATCCCTCAGCTCGAGGCAGGGAGAAGCCCCGAGCACTGCCACGTGTGGTCCCCAAACCAAACACCAAGCAAAACATTCTGAGGAAAGTCGAAAGTGGGACAAAGATCTCAAGCCCCTTCCTCCTTATTTTCTCTCCTGAGCATCCAGAAGAAGCAACGCCGGGGCCGGAACAATAGCACAGCGGGGAGGGCATCTGCCTTGAACGCGTCTGACCTGAGTTTGATCCCCGGCGTCCTGTATGTCCCCCGAGTAATGCCAGAAGTAACTCCTGACTGCAGAGCCAGGAGTCAGCCCTGAGCATCGGCTGGGCGTGATCCAAAACTCAAAAATTTAAATAAATAAATAAATAAAAATAAAGGCAAAGAAGCAATGCCTAAGTCTTAAAAACTTTTCCAGGGGCTGGAGCGATAGCACAGCGGTAGGGCGTTTGCCTTGTACACAGTCGACCCGGGTTCGATTCCCAGCATCCCATAGGGTCCCCTGAGCACCGCCAGGAGTGATTCCTGAGTGCATGAGCCAGGAGGAACCCCTGAGCATCGCTGGGTGTGACCCAAAAAGCAAGAAAAAAAAAAAATCTTTTCCAGATTATCAGCATCTAAACAAAAGAAACCCAATAAACCATTTCTCCTCTGCCTTTCCTTAGAATTGCTGAATTTTTTTAACGTTTTTAAAATTTTTTTATTTGGAGGCCAGATCTGGCTCTGTGCTCAGGGAACCCCATGGGACGCCAGAGATCAAACTTGGGTCAGCTGCGTGCCGGGTGGCTGCCCCAGCCACTCTACTATGGCTCAGGCCCAAGAATTACCGCATCATTGCCTTCTAAAGAAGATACTCTCGGGGCTGGAGCGATAGCACAGCGGGTAGGGCGTTTGCCTTGCATGTGGCTGACCCAGGTTCGATTCCCAGCATCCCACCGGGTCCCCTGAGCACCGCCAGGAGTTAATTCCTGAGCGCAGAGCCAGGAGTAACCCCTGTGCATCGCTGGGTGTGACCCCAAAAAGCAAAAAAAAAATAAAATAAAATAAAAATCAAATTAATTTAAAAATCAATGAAAAATTAATTAAATTAATTAAAAGTTTAAAAAAAAGAGACTGTCACTGTGGGAAATGGGAGCCCTGGGGCCTGGGGGCGCCCAGTTCTGCCTGGACTGAAGGGGGAGTCACCAGCTACTCAATCCACTACTCACAGGACCCCCCAAAAAAAAAAATCTGAATAAAGAACTTTAATTTTAGGAGCTCAGGAAACTTCCTTTCATTCTTGGCTTCTGGCCCCGCCGAGGTCGGAGCTGACACCTCTGCCAGAAGCCAGCTGACCTGCCACTTCCGCTGCCACCAATTCTCACAGAGGAAATGGCCAAGATGTGAAGGTCACGGCAGCTGGCCACTTGGCCCCGGGCGTGGAGGAAGCAAACAGAGGCAGGTGAGGTGAGAGAGGGTCACTGAGATGTATTTTCGGTGGGTAAGTGCCACATCAGCCTGCTTCAATCTGCGTAAAGAAACGCTACTGGCCTGGGCTGGGAATTAACTACTGAGACTCGAACCCCCCTGGGAAGGTTCAGCACAAGCCTCCTGGCTACAGGGCCCTGGGTTCAATCCCCAGCACGCACACAAACAACAGTAAATAAAATCTAAGAAGATCCCAAGGGCTCAGAGCAATAGCACAGCGGGCGGGCGTCTGCCTCGGATGCTGCCCACCCGGGTTCAACCCCCGGCAGCCCTAGGGTCCCCTGAGCCCACCAGGGGTGATCCTTAACACAGAGCCAGGAGTAACTCCTTACCATCACTGGGTGTGACCCAAAACCCGACAAAGAAAAAAATTAAAAATAAAAGGAGGCGCTGGAGCGATAGCACGGCGGGGAGGGCGTTGGCCTTGCACGCGGCCGACCCAGGTTCGATCCCTGGCCTCCCATGTGCTCCCCTGAGCACCTCCGGGAGTGATTCCTGAGTGCAGAGCCAGGAGGAACCCCTGAGCATCACTGGGTGGGACCCAAAAAGCCAGGAGGGAACCAATCATCTCCATCGGGTCACTCAAAACTCCCAGGACTGACCATTTCTACAGCCGGGGCTGGAGCAATAGCACAGCGGTAGGGCGTTTGCCTTGCACGCAGCCAACATGGCCAACACAGATTCGATTCCCAGCATCCCATGTGGTCCCCCGAGCACCGCCAGGAGTAATTCCTGAGTGCATGAGCCAAGAGTAACCCCTGAGCATCGCCGGGTGTGACCCAAAAAGCAAAATAAATAAATAAATAAAAATAAAAATTTTCTTTAAAAAAAAAAGTTAAAAAAAGAGACCCAGCCTACGTCTAAGTAGAGCTGCCACTAGGTCAACCCCTGTGCATTGCCGGGTGCGACCCCAAAGGCAAAATGGGTAGCACTGTAGCCCTGTCCTCCCGTTGTTCGTCGATTTGCTCAAGCGGGCACCAGTAACGTCTCACAACAAATTGTGAGACTTGTTGTTACTGTTTTTGCAGACTGAATACGTCACGGGTAGCTTGCCAGGCTCTGCTGGCGAGATACTCTTGGTAGCTTGCTGGGCTCTCCGAGAGGGGCGGAGGAATCGAACCCGGGTTGGCTATGTCGGCCGCATGCAAGGCAAATGCCTTACCACCGTGCTATCGAACCAGCCCCAAAGGCAAAATAAATGAATTAATTCATGGGCAGCTTTAGAAGGTCTATCTCACAGTGATTCAATTAAACAGCTAAAAAGGAAAAATTATAATAATAAATAAAGAGCTGTTAGGCAATAGCCGTCACTCCCACTCTCGTCTTCCTCGGCAGCTGAGCACGTGCCGAAGAATCCTGTGTGCCCCCAGCCGGGGACCCTTGAGGGGTCATTTCTGTCTCATTTCTGTCCCGTTTCACCCAGTGCCCATCGGCCAAGTGACCCAACGGGCCCAGGGTCAGCGAGCCCAGCGAGAGTCCTCCTGGGCAGGAAGTTGAGTGCTGCTGATAGCGGCTAAGATCCTCGTCCCGAGAGAGATAAAACCAGACACCAGGCCCCGAGCGGGGAAGGCGTTTGCCTTGCATAAGGCCACGCCGGGGTCGATCTCGGAACCCCAAGTGGCCGCCAAGCCCCTCCAGGCAGGACTGATCGCTGAGTGCAGACCCAGAAGCCCTGAGTGTTGCCAGGTATGACCACCAAAGCAAAACAAAGCACCGACTAAGTGATGGGGATGGGGGGCCCCTGTGGTCACTCACCTGGCGAATGGACATGGTGCAGAGGATGTAGAGGAAGATGAAGGAACAGTCTGTGGTATCATCCCCCAGAAGGTTCCGGTGCGAGAGGCCTTGGATATACGAAAGGGGGGTGAAAGGGAGCTTGGCCACCACCCTGCCGTCAAATCTGGAAAGGAAAAAACAACATTATCCCTGGAGGCCCCAGGCCAGGACCCCGGTCAGAAATAGAACGGCAGGGCCGGAGTGAGAGCACAGCGGGGAGGGCGTGGGCCTTGCACGCGTCCGACCCGGGTTCGATCCCCGGCAGCCCATAGGATCCCCCGAGCACCGCAGGAGTGACTCCTGAGTGCAGAGCCAGGACTTAACCCCTGAGCATCGCTGGTGTGACCCAAAAAGCAAAAAGAAAAAAAGAAAAGAAAGAGAACAGCAGGAGGTCGGAGAGACAGGGCCTGGCCAGCCCCCTCAGGCTCCATCTCCGCACCCAGATGGTCCCGTTGTGCCCGGAGTGATCCCTGAGCACAGAGGCAGAAGGATGGGAGATTCCCAGGGGCGCACTGAGTCATTTTTTGTTTTCTCTGGAAAGTGCCAAGTAAGGGTGGAAACTTCTGGCCTGCATTAAGAATAGAAAAAGAGTCACGGGTAATTACTGCCGACCAAAAGTAGATATCCTTGACCGGGCAACTAAGTTTAGAGCGTGTGTGAGTCCAAGAAACAGACACAGTGCAGCGACATTACAGTGGGGAGGGCGTTGGCCTTGCACGCGGCCGACCCGGGTTCGATTCCCGGTGTCCCACAGGGTCCCCTGAGCACCGCCAGGAGTGATCCCTGAGCGCAGAGTCAGGAGTAAGAGCTGAGCATCGCTGGGTGTGACCCAAAAACCAAAACCAAACCAAACACAAAAAGCTAAAAAAAAAAAAAATCCAAGAGACAGAAGTAACTGGGCAAAGGAGCCCGCGGTCCACAACACAACACACACCCTCAAGTGACCAACAAAAACGCATCTCGGGGCTGGAGCGATAGCACAGCGGGGAGGGCGTTTGCCTTGCACGCGGCCGACCCGGGTTCGATTCCCAGCATCCCACAGGGTCCCCGAAGCACTGCCAGGAGCAATTCCTGAGTGCATGAGCCAGGAGGAACCCCTGAGCATCGGTGGGTGTGACCCCCCCAAAACAAATCAAACAAAAACACATCTCGTGAATATATGATTAAAGACAGAGGGAACGAAAACAGTGAAAACACTGACAACGGCTCATGGCAGATACACTACGCTTTCGTTCCTTCTATAAAAAAATCTAGAAAATCAAACCAGGACATGGCCCCAAAGCGAGCAGTTCACACATGTACACCAAGGGCGACCGTCAGCTAACACCGCGTTGGATACTCACATGGAATTGAACATGCCCATCAAGGCCGTGAAGCAGAACCCGATGGCAAACATGGACTTCATCCGAACCTGGAAGGAGACCAGCACATTTCACATCGGACACACGGCCAGCAGCCCACACCCCCGAGCCTGGGCTTCCTGCTCACGGCGCTCCGGAGCAAAAGCTGTTCTTGGCTGACCCTCCCTGTCCCTGCGTTGCTGAGCCGGGCACCTCCTGATGTCTCGGAGCAGGCCGGCAGAGGCAACGCAACTGGTCTAGCCGGTGAGTGACCACTGCAAAGCAGTCTCCCGAGGGCACACCTGGCCCGCGGCCCTTCTGCCCGTTCTTCCTGCTGGCACGACGGGAGAAAGGACCATGCCCAGGACAAAGTGTCACCGAGCCACCAACCTCACGCTAAAAGCGACCCAAGGCCTCATCCTGGTGACACTTCTGGGCTTCTCCAGGCGGAAATGACCCTCTATCTGTGAAAGTCACAGCTGGCCAGGCTTTCTGGTACAAAAAGGCCACTTCCTTCTTTATTTTGCTTGTTTTTGGGGTCATACCCGGCGATGCACAAGGGTTATTCCTGGCTCTTCATTCAGGAGTTACTCCCGGCGGTGCTCGGGGACCATAAGGAATGCTGGGAATTGAACCCGGGTCGGCCGCGTGCAAGGCAAACGCCCTACGGGTCACACCCAGCAATGCTCAAGGGTGGTTACTCCTGGCTTTGCGCTCAGGAATCACTCCTGCCGGTGCTCGGGGGACCATATGGGATGCTGGGAATCGAACCCGGGTCGGCCGCGTGCCAGGCAAACGCCCTCCCCGCTGTGCTATCGCTCCAGCCCCAATTTTTTTTTTTTTAACCTTTCTGTAATTTCCACATTTGATATTCCCAGCAAATAATCACGTCACAGAGTATTTGCAAAAAGGAGCCCTCAGCACCAAGCAAAAAAAGAAAACGTAGGGGCCAAGTCCACAGCACAGCGATAAGGCATTTGCCTTGCACACGGCCGACCAGGATTCGATCCCCAGAACCCCATTATGCTCCGAGTCTGCCCGGAGTGAGCCCTGAGCGCAGAGCCGGGACTAAGTCCTGAGCACTGCCGGGTGTGGCCCCCCAAAATTAGCATAAAGCGGCAGGGGCATGTGACTTAGAGCCGAGGGCAATGGTGAGGCCCAGTGGCGGCTGGGTCCATCTCAAAAGCGGGCCCCCGGGCCACATGTGACTTCGGGTCACACCACAGCCATGTGAGCGAGTGTCCCAACGAAAGAGACCAACGGGCACCAAGGCAGGAAGCACAGGGCCAAGTTTGACCCTCCCCTGCACCCCCAGAAACTCCTGCGGCTGCGCATGTGAGCACCAATGGGACCTGCTTCTCCTCAGGCAGTGCCCTGGTCACGGCCACATCAGCCAGACGGAAGGGAGGGGACGATCACAGCAGACAGAAGCTTAGGGACCGAGCTGAAATGACAGGCGATGATGGGGCCGGAGTGACAACATAGCGGGGAGGGCGTTGGCCTTGCACGCGGCCGACCCGGGTTCGATTCCCAGCATCCCATATGGTCCCCTGAGCACTGCCAGGAGTCATTCCTGAGCACCACTGAGTGTGACTCAAAATGCAAAATCAAAACAAAACAAAGTGACAGGTGACGGCTTCTGAGAGAGCGGACAAACACCCCTCAGGTCACTCCAGTGGCGTTTCGGCCAGGGCCATCACCCTCCCTCCCCGACACAGACTCGAACTTGCTGCCCGCAGAATCCCGAGCTAGCCAGGGCACACACGTCCCGCCAAGTCCGTCTGGGCCCCTTACCATGGAGAGATCTCTGTTATTGTTCTTCAGTTTCTCTTCTTGCCTCTCTGGAAAGAAGGGAGGGGAACGTTAACACACCGGGCAGAGCCCGAAGAGGCCGGGAAGTGCCACCCTCTGGGGACTCCGGGGCACGTCGGCACAGAGCAGAGCACCTGGCAGAGAGCATCCTCTGTTCTGGCAGGAAACCCAAAAGCAGTCCACAGCCACCAACAAGCAAAGTACCATGGAAATTGTGGAACATACAGACGCAAGCCATCCCGCGAACAGCTGGGAATCTTCCATTACTTAAGAATCATGAGGGTCGGGGAGATAGGACAGCAGGGAGGGCCTTGCACGTGGCCGACCCGGGTTCGATCCCCGTCATCCCATAGTGTCCCCTGAGCACCTCCAGGAGAGATTCCTGAGTGCAGGGTCAGGAGATGACCCCTGAGCATCGCTGGGTGGGACCCAAAAGAGAGGAAAAAAAAAAAGAAATTCAATCTTGGAGGCGATGGAGAGAGAGCACCGTGGACAGCGGTCTTGCCTTGTAAAAGGCTGACCCGAATTCAATCCCCAGCACCCTGTTTGGTCTCCTGAGCCCCGCCAGGAGTGACTCCTGAGCACAGAGCCAGAACAAAGCCCCGAGCACTGCTTGGCGGACCCCCAAAACAAACAAACAAAAAATAATTTTTTTCCCCCACATGCCGTGACTATGGGAAAAACTGGGTTTGATTTCTTGGCACAGCAACTACAAGAAGACATTTTTTTTCCCCCCCAAGAAAACCTTAATTTGGGGCTGGAGAGATAGCACACCGGGTAGGGCGTTTGCCTTGCACGCAGCCGACCCGAGTTCGATTCCCAGCATCCCATATGGTCCCCTGAGCACCGCCAGGAGTAACTCCTGAGTGCAGAGCCAGGAGTAACCCCTGTGCATCACCAGGTGTGACCCAAAAAGCAAAAATAAATAAAAAATAAACAAAATGTTCTGTTCCTTTAAAATGTATATCAAAAAAAAAAAAAAGAAAACCTTAATTTAGTTTTCCCAGGAAAACCTAAATTTCACTCCCAAACTCATTGCATAGCACCTCCCTTTTACATTAAAAAAATAAATAAATAAAGGGGGCTGGAGCGATAGCACAGGGGGTAGGGCGTTTGCCTTGCACACGCGGCCGACCCGGGTTCGATTCCCAGCATCCCATATGGTCCCCTGAGCACCGCCAGGGGTAATTCCTGAGCGCAGAGCCAGGAGTGACCCCTGTGCATTGCCGACTGTGACCCCAAAAGCAAAAAAAGAAAAAAAAAAAACCAGAAAACGAAACAACAAAACCCCAACCCTCAGCTACCTTGGAAACCTACCTTCTTTGCAGGAATGAGGAGAAACTGCCCCCCGCATCTGAGTTAACACCCCCCAGATGGTCCCAGGGGGTGGGCTTGCAGGGAGGGGGGAGCAGTGGGAAACTTGGGGGGACGCCAATGACTCTGCTTACCAATTTTCTTCTTCTGTTGACGGCCAGCCGATTCGGTAATGGTTTCCTTCTTCTTCTCCACTGCAAACAACACAGAGGGAAGATCAGATCGTATACTGTGGACAGCACTTCCGGCACGGGGTACGGTTAAATCTGAGTAAGGGAGCTGAACCCCCCACCGGCTGACGGTTAAAGGCTGGCGCATGGGGCTGGAGCGATAACACAGCAGGGAGGGCGTTTGCCTTGCACATGGCCAACCCGGGTTCGATTCCCAGCATCCCATAGGGTCCCCCGAGCACCGCCAGGAGTGATTCCGGAGTGCAGAGCCAGGAGGAACCCCTGAGCATCGTCCGGGGGTGACCCAAAAAGTAAATAAATAAATAAAAGTAAATAAATAAATAAAGGCTGACGTAACACTCTCAGAAATGCAAAATCCCCTGCAACCGACCGGTGAGATACCAATAAAGGGTTCTGCTACATCCCAGGCAGGACCAGGACCAGGAGGATTCTGAGACCTTCCTTCAGGGCCCTGTTAGGATCTAGGGGCGCTGCCAGGTGACAGTGACTGACTAGAGGGCAGAGAGAGACCGCGCAGGGTCCCTCAAGTCCTGCCAGGAGTGACCCCTGCCGCACCGAGCCAGGACTAAGCCTTGAGCATCACGGGGGGTTGGGGGGGTGGGAGGTGGTGGGGATGGGGGGTGCTGGGAATCGGAGAGGACTCTCTCACCAGCCCCCAAGGTTCTGAGTTTTGGGCTGGAGCGTTCGTCCAGCAGGAAGGGCGCTGGCCTGGCACGCGGCCGACCCGGGTTCGATCCCCAGCAGCCCATAGGGTCCCCCGAGCACCGTCAGGAGTGATTCCTGAGTGCAGAGCCAGGAGGAACCCCTGAGCATCGCTGGGTGTGACCCAAAAAGCAAAAATAAATAAAAGGGTTTGAGGGGGCCAGGCTGATAGCACAGCGGGGAGGGCATTGGCCTGGCACACGGCCGACCCGGGTTCGATTCCCAGCATCCCATAGGGTCCCCCGAGCACCACCAGGAGTGATCCCTGAGTGCAGAGCCGGGAGTCAGCCCTGAGCATCGCCGGGTGGGACCCAAAAAGCAAAAAAGAAAAGAAAAAAAAGATTTTGCGTTTGAAGGGGCCCGCCGTCCCGCAGAGACCCAGGCCACCCGCGTCTGCCTGCAGCCGGCCGGGGCAGCAGAGCTGGGGGGTCCCGGAGGGGGCACGACTCACGCTTTTTACTCTGTTTCTCCACCTCCGCCTTCAGCCTCTTGTACTTGTCCGTCCTGTAGACCAGGACCCAAGTGATGCCTGGGAACAGCAAGGGACACGAGAGGGACGTCAGTGCCCCGCGGTGCGGCCGGCAGTCCCGGGAACTGAACCGCACAGAGCCGGGAGTCAGCCCTGAGCACAGAGTCAGGAGTGAGCCCTGAGCACAAAGCCAGGAGTGAGTCTTGAGCACTGAGCCAGGAGTCAGCCCTGAGCCCCTCCAGGAGTGATTCCTGAGCACAGGGCCGGGAGTCAGCCCCAAGCACCGAGCCAGGAGTCAGCCCTGAGCCCCTCCAGGAGTGATTCCTGAGCACAGAGTCGGGAGTGAGCCATGAGCACTGAGCTGGGAGTCAGCCGTGAGCACAGAGCCCGGAGTGAGCCCTGAGCACAGAGTCAGGAGTTCATCCCTGAGTACGGAGCCAGGAGTCAACCCTGAGCACTGAGCCAGGAGTCAGCCCTGAGCCCCTCCAGGAGTGATCCCTGAGTCTAGAGCCAGAAGTCAGCCCTAAGCACAGAGCCAGGAGTCAGCCCTGAGCACATAGTCAGGAGTCAGTCCTGAGTACAGAGCCGGAAGTCAGCCCTGAGCACAGAGGTGGGAGTCAGCCCTGAGCACAGAGTCAGGAGTCAGCCCTGAGCCCCTCCAGGAGTGATTCCTGAGCACAGAGCCAGGAGTGAGCCAGGAGCACCGAGCTGGGAGTCAGCCGCGAGCACAGAGCTGGGGGTCATCCCTGAGCACGGATCCAGGAGTCAGCCCCGAGCACAGACTCGGGAGTCAGCCCTGAGCCCCTCCAGGAGTGATTCCTGAGCCCCGATCCCGAGAGTCAGCCCCGAGCACCGATCCAGGAGTCAACCCTGAGCCCCGATTGCGGGAGTCACCCCCGAGCACTGAGCCAGGAGTCATCCCCGAGCACCGCTGCGGGTGGTGCGAAAAGACCCCCCGCGCCCCCCGCGCCCCGCGCCCACCCTCGGCCAGCAGCGCGGTGCAGACGGAGATGAAGACGATGAGCAGCGTGTCGGCGAACATGGTGCTCATCGCGCAGGCCGGCCGGGACGGCGCCGGGGCCGGGAGCGCCTCGGAGCCAGACACGGGGGTCGCGCCCGAATCCCCCGCGCAGACGCGGGCCGCGGGCGATGACAGGCAGCGGCGGCGACGGCGGCGGCGGCGGCGGCGGCGGCGGCCCGGACCCCACTTCCGCTTCCGGGGCCGCGCGCCGGAAGCGCTCCCTCGCCCGGCTGCGGCGGGGAATCCCGCGGGTTCTCGCGAGATCTGCCGGCGGGGCGATGACGTCGAATGGCAGCGACCCGGAAGCGCTGCCCCGCGCGTGCTGGTCGGGCTGGACGGCGGCGGGGGCGATGACGTCGAATGGCAGCGACCCCGGAAGCGCTGCCCCCGCGCGTGCTGGTCGGGTTGGGCGGCGGCGGGGGCGATGACGTCGAATGGCAGCGACCCCGGAAGCGCTGCCCCCGCGCGTGCTGGTCGGGCTGGGCGGCGGCGGGGGCGATGACGTCGAATAGCAGCGACCCCGGAAGCGCTGCCCCGCGCGTGCTGGTCGGGCTGGGCGGCGGCGGGGGCGATGACGTCGAATGGCAGCGACCCCGGAAGCGCTGCCCCGCGCGTGCTGGTCGGGTTGGGCGGCGGCGGGGCGCGATGCGGATCTGCAGCCGCCGCCTCCTCCCCGCCCCTCCCCCTGCTCGGCCGAGCCCAGGGGGTCGCGCTGACCCCTGGACGCTCAGCGTGGACATCAGCTGCCCCCGCTGCACGCGCCAGATGCCAGTCTGACGGCGCCGGGGTGCAGCTGGGCCTGGGGCGGGGGGTTGCCTGCGTGGCATTAGTGGGGGGCTCTGGAGTGATCGTCGGTGCATTAGGGTCCGAGGGGCCGTGGGAGTCCGGCAGGCAGATCTCGCCGACCCAGTGTCCAGCGTTCCAGGGCAAGGGCCATGCCCGGGGAGGCCGGGGAGCAGGTGCAGCCCAGCCACGTGGCCCAGGCCCAGCTACGTGCCCTGCCCACGTGCTGCTGGCCAGCTCCAAGCGCCACGTCCAGAACTGGAAATGTGTGTCCACTTCGGTTCCGCCCTTAGCAAAGACTCGCCGAGTAGGGTCCACTGAGCACCACCAGGAAGGAGCACGGACTTGTGGGCTCCCGGGCGTGCAAATCAGGCGCACCCACCCAGCCCCAGCAAGCCTTGGAGCTGTCACCCAAGCCCCAGGGAAGCCCAAGACCTTCCTAAAGAGACGAGGACCCGAGGGGCTGGAGTGATCGCACAGTGGGGAGGACGAGTAGGGTGTTGGCCTTGCACGCAGCCTGACCCGGGTTCGATTCCCAGCATCCCATAGGGTCCCCTGAGCATCGCCAGGAGTGATTCCTGAGTGCATGAACCAGGAGGAACCCCTGTGCATCGCTGGGTGTGACCCAAAAAGCCAAAAAAAAGAAAAAAGACAAGGACCGGGGCTGCTGTTCTCCCATTGTTAAGCTACACCCTCCTGGTTCCCCCCACCCAAAAAAAAAAAAAGTACTGTATCATAAATTTAACTGTCCCTGTGATCTTTGGGTTTCCTTTGGCAGGAATACCTTTCTTTTTTCTTGTTTTTGCCTTTTGGGTCTCACCCAGAGATGCTCAGGGCTTACTACTCCTGGCACTGTGCTCAGGGATGACCCCCTGGCGGTTAGCTGGCACTGGATGGGATGCACCAAACCAAGGTCAGCCAGGAGCAAGGTGAACGCCCTTCCCTGCAGAATTATCTCCCAGGCCCAGAACTTGTTTTGCTCTCCTGTCTGCTTTTGACTGGGGAAGTCTTTGACATGGAAAGCGGTTTCCAGTGACAATAGTAATCCGACTCCGACCAGCTGTGCTTGGAGCTCCTGGAGCCGTTTGTATTGTTTTTGTCAATCCCCTTCTCTCACTTTCTTCCTCTCCAGTTTGTTGATCTTCCTAGATCACCACTCAGCCTTGTTTGTTTGGTTTGTTTTGGTACTTTTGCCCCGGGGCCCACCTAAAACCTGGAAAACTCAAAATGTGGTTTACTTTTGGTTTTTTTTGTTTTTTATTGTTTTTTGTTTTTGTTTTTGTTTTTGTTTTGCATTTTGGGTCACACCTGGAGATGCACATGGATTATTCCTGGCTCATGCACTCAGGAATTGCTCGTGGTGGTGCTTGGGGGACCCTATGGGATGCTGGGAATCGAACCCGGGTCGGCCGAGGAGTGTGTGTGTGTGTGTGTGTGTGTGTGTCTTTCTTTGGCCACACCCGGCGATGCTCAATGGTGACTCCTGGCTCTGCACTCAGGAATCACTCCTTGGCGGTGCTTGGGGGACCATATGGGATGCTGGGAATCGAACCCGGGTCGGCTGCGTGCAAGGCAAACACCCTACCCGCTGTGCTATCACTCCAAGCCCCCATCAAAATGTGGTTTCCTTTTGAATCCTTCCCATCCGAATCAGTCTCTTGCTGTCAGGTTTCTAGGGCTAGATTGGTTCATTTTTCCCCCCCTCCAGCTGGTACACACCATCCTGATTTTTGTCCTTGGACCTGCCAATAATCGAAGTACTCACCGCTGCTTCCCATGCCTTCATGAAAGCCGGCATCTTTTCGCAAGAGATTGGCCCTTCTATTTTGCAAACTGTTGGAAATGAATCTGCAGGCTGACTAATGGGAACGCGAAGATTTACTCCCAGAGGAGGGAAGTTTGATGAGTCATTTTCCAAGAATTGTCTCCTTGTTCAAAAGAGAGCTAGGATAGCTTGGTTGTGTAGTGTGTGTGATCTCTTCCCTGGAATTTTAGTGAAGCAAAGTTCCCCTAACCTGAGCCCCGGGAGCTTTCCTAGGGTGGTAGCCAGTCTCCCGGGAGGTTTGTGATGTGTTTAGCTTAGCACTGGCTCCTGGCACGAGTGATTACTTCATCTTCTGTGTGCTGCAGTGTATGCATCACACCAAGACAATTGCTGACTTTGTGTGATTCCTGGAAGAGAGAAATGGCTTGTGATTCCTCGGATGCTCTGAGGATCCGTCCCAGTGCATCAGTCACGACATTCTGAGACCCTGAGTGAAGGCAGGAAGAAGAAGCACCATGCTGGAGAGGTAAGAGAGTGAGCTTGGGTTTCCAGGACTTTCTCTGCTGCCTCCCAGACCACGACTCTCTTCAAGTCGACCTCAGAGATCCCAGGTTCAACAGTTGCACCTTTTTTTTTGCAGAATTGATGTGTGCCCTGACTGAAAAAAAGAGAAGGCCCAGCAACCTCCCTCTGAGTGGCTCACAGAAGTTTGAGGGGCTGGAGCGATAGCACAGCAGGGTAGGGCATGGTTTGCCTTGCACGTGGCCAACCCGGGTTCGATCCCCGGCATCTGATATGGTCCCCGAGCACCGGCAGGAGTGATTCCTGAATTCAGAGCCAGGAGTAACCCCTGTGCATCGCCAGGTGTGACCTAAAAAGCAAAAAAAAAAAAAAGATTTGAGGGAGATTATTTAAATTTTTACGATCTCAGGAGCACGCGACCACAAAAGCAACCACGTAGTATCTCAAACATTTTTTTTTTCTTCTTTTTTGTTGAATCACTGTGAGATACACCTTATAGACATCTGCTACTAATCACAACCAGCAATACAGAATAAATGATCTGGGGCTGAAGTGATAGCACAGCGGGGAGGGTGTTTGCCTTTCACCCGACCCAGGTTCGATTCCCAGCATCCCATATGGTCCCCTGAGCACCACCAGGAGTGATTCCTGAGTGCATGAGCCAGGAGGAACCCCTGTGCATCGCCGGGTGTGACCTAAAAAAACAAAAACAAAACAAAATAAATTATCTAGCACCTGCCAGTGGGGCAGGCTTGAGTGGTGGTGGGAAACTTCGAAGTAATGGTGATGGGAAGGTGTCATGGTGGGGAGATTGGTGTTGAAATATTGAAGGTACTCAATTACTGTGAACAACTTCATCAAAATAAAATAAAAAATTAAAAGAAAGAAATAAGTTTGAGGACTATATTAGTGCTCGGGGCTTCTCCTGGCGGGGCTGAGGATTGAACCCACCAGCCACGAGCAGGGCAAACGCCTTTCCCACCCCACTGTGCCAAATTCTGTATTCTCTTCACTCACCGAGAGCGTCTGTTTTGTCTGTGATGGCATATTCGTGACGTCACGGAGAAATAATCAGAGTTAAAGCCCAAGTGTAAGAGGGTAACATTCCTCACAACAATGGTCCAGGCTTAGCTCCTGAGTGGACAAAACACTATTGTTGGCCTTTGAGGCCGGCGTATTCCTGGGCTTGCGAGGTGGGTTGTGGGGAATCCAGCCGGAGGCGGCAGTTCTGGGGGTCCCCACATTCCACCCAGCACAGACCACTTCTTTACAGTATCACGGTATCACGGTCCTCCCGTTGTTCATCGATTTGCTCGAGTGGGCCCAGTAACGTCTCCATCGTGAGACTTGTTGTTACTGTGTCTGGCATATCGAATACGTCACGGGGAACTTGCCAGGCTCTGCCGTGCGGGTGAGATACTCTCGGTAGCTTGCAGGGCTCTCCGAGAGGGGCGGAGGAATCGAACTCGGGTCAGTACCTGGAGAAAATCCCTGCTGGTGGCCACCAAAATTATCCCGGAGGAGAGCCATGTGGCAGCTTCCCTCCTGGGATATAGGCCCATGTTGAGAGCACCTCCAATTCCAGTTACTTTACTTTTTTTTGGGGGGAGGGGCACACCCAGCGATGCTCAGGGCTGACTCCTGCCTCTGCACTCAGGAATTACTCCTGGCGGTGCTTGGGGGACTATATGGGATGCCAGGATTGAACCTGGGTCAACCATGTGCAAGGCAAACGCCCTATCCATTGGACTATCTCTCCGGCCCCCCAGTTACTTGATTTTAAAGACAACCACGGGGGGAGGCAGAGCGATCGGGCAGTGGGGAGAGCACTGGCCTTGCTTGTGGGCAACCTGGGTTCAATCCCCGGCACTGCCAGGAGTGATCCCTGCGCTCAGAGCCAGAAAGAAGCCCTGAGCATCACCAGGTATGGCTTGGAGCTCTGGTCCTGTCTCCTCTGGGTCCTCTGGGGCCACATTGATTCCTGGGTTAGTCCCAGCCCCCTGCCTTTGTGGATGGCAGCCAGAGGGAGAGAAAGGTCGTCCTGCTGGTGCTTAACTGGGATGGGGCAGGCTTTGAAAGAA